CGGGCACCCTGCGGCGGGGCCTGAGGTCAACCTCCTACCGCCGGGCCGTGGTGAGCGGCGTGGACTTCGACAGCTCCAGCAACTTTAAGAAGAAGAACAGGATGTCCCAGCCCATTCTTAAAGCCGTGGTGGAAGATAAAGAGAAGTTTTCGAGCCTGGGGAGGATGCAGTTGAGCTGTGCCGAGCCGAGCCGTGCGGGCTGCGCAGGTGGATTCGCAGCCCGGGAAGTTTCCCAGGACTGCTGGGTTTGGTTTTCGGTTTGCTTTTTGCTACGGCAAAACTTCCTCGCGGATCAGTTACAAGTGGCGATTTCGAAGCAGAGCGGTGGAGGCTGCGGGCACAGGGCGGGATTCTGGGGAAATCTGGGCAGCGCAAAGGCTGCTGATGGCACCTCTCGCCCGCGGTCCCTGCTGGAGCCCCCACACGCCGGGCGTTCCTTCACCATCAAATTGGTGTTTTTAAACCTCTTTCCCAGAAAGTGGCAAACAGGAGAAAAAGAGCCGCTAATTTAACAACGCCTGCCTGCTGGAGTAGCAGCCAGGCAGAGAAAGGAACCTCCTCCTGCGCTCTCCTGTCTGAGGCAGAGTAGTGTTCTTAAAAATCAGAGTGTGATCTTTCTTAAATTGATAGAGACCCCTTCAGGTATCTTTTTTTTTGTGCCGGTGAATGCCTGGTTTTCATTCTTGGTTATAATCCATTAGGAGCAGTAGATTTATTCTCAGTGTATCAAAGTTAAAATATAAATACTTACTGAAGATATTATTTTACTTGAACATAACCTATTGTAATCTTGTATTTTCTTCTTTTTAAGTATGTACTTTAAGAAAAAAAGTGTTTGTAAATTTCTGCAGAGCATTCAGAATTGTGTAACAGAGTACTCCAGGCTAAGGGCTAAGGGTGTAGCTATTAAATTAATGATCAGCTTTGTGGCACTTTTCAGCCAGTTGAAAGTTATGAGCATGGAAGCTTTTGTGGAAAAGCTCAAAGTGGTGAAATAGTTATCAAACACATTGTGAACTGCTGCCCAGTAGGGTCTGGTTTGGTTTTGGTAGCAGACTTTAACCGGAAGTTATGTTTAAAATAGGAGATCCTGTCTTTACACACGCATCTCTTTTTGCTAGTATCCTGGGTTTTTTTTTTACATAGACTTCTTAGCCCATACGACTTGTTGCACCAAGCCAGCTGTTTTATTTCAAAGGTTTGTTTCGGTCTCGGAACGTTAGTTTGCAGACTCCTTAGTGTGGGGGTTCTCTGGGGAGGGTGTGGGAGGAGGCAGCGCACACCCCCAGCCTCGCAGGGAAGCCCGGGGACAGCGGAGCCAGCTACAAATTCACTGAACTCTGGCAACGCCAGCGCTCTGTGGTTCTGCAGCGCAGGGAACATGAGGCACTGGGGACAGATACGTGTAAACAGCCCGAAAGAGGGAAAGCTGCAGTAGCTTTTCACTTTCTGTGATGAAACGGTTGTTTTCATGAGTACTTGTCTAACATTAACAGGCTCCAGACTATAATAACTTCAAATAAAATGGAAGTTCTTGTTACTCTTGGTTATTGTGCGTTCTTCTTGTAATGTGTATGTGTTTCTTTTCTGTTAGAAGAAAATGCTGAAAGGACAAGGGACGTTTGATGGGGAAGGTAAGCCTGTTTCTGTACAGACTTGGTAATACGCTCAGTTATGAGAGAATGGAACTTGAGGATCGTTTTGTGAACTTCTTTCATAGGCAGTCAGAGACTGAGTACCTTGCTTTTTAGTAACCTGACTGCTGCGTGAACCATAACTTTGGCACTCGGCATACCTTGGGGAATATTTTAAAGAGTATGGGATGGCAGGCTGAAACTGGATTTTTCTTTGAAGGGCTTAAACTCTTGTACCTCTTCAAAGATGAACTTGATGGCTGGGTCTGTCTCAGCCCTCACAGGTGCGTAGAATTGCCCAGGTGGGGCTGGTTCCTCCGAGTGGGGTGTCCCTGGCTCCTCCCAGGTGCAGGTGTTTGTGGCTCAGCTCAGGGGGTTGGGGACATCGCTTGTAGCCACACTGAACTGTTGTGCTCGAGGTGATGGCCCATGCAGCTTTGCCGCTCTTTCACCTCATAAGGCAAGGGTGCTGTAATCCTTTTCTTGCTGCCTAGGCCTCCAGTGTCAGAAAAATACTGTCTAACTGCTTTTTATGTTACTCATTAATTCTGGACTTCGGCAGGTTTACTGCTTTTACCAATATTTGAACAAGAAAAAAATTCACTCCTGGCTATGATTCTGTGGAAGTTTCATTACAGGAACTGCTACTCTCTTGGCTTTTCTCTGCTTAATGCCTCTGTAAGGTCACCTCAGCTGCTGTGTTACCTTCTGTTTCTTCTTGTTTCTATTTCTTAATGTTTTTCGGTTTGTTCTGTTTGCACTGCCCCCTGCCTTACTCTTATTTTCATCTTTTCTCGCACTATGTCCTGATGTTCTCTAGATTCTCTACTGATGGCTCTCTTCTATCTTGTACTGATCCCAACTAATAGCTCTCTTTGTAATGCCTCTCAGAATTCAGTTGTGTTGCACAATTTCTTGTATTATAAGTGTGCAGACTGTACAGATGCTTTCCGAAGAACAAATACCTTGCATGATATTCGGCCGGGGCTGTGTGGCCCGAGCAGGTGACACAGATGCCCCCAGCCCAGTGTGAGACCTCAGGAGTTGCAGCTGCATGTGGAGCAGCCAGACCTTTCCCTTCTTTCCCCTTTCTCTTGTAGGACAAGATTGCAGATTAGCCAGAGCCTGGCCCATCTCTAAATGTATTCTGGTCTTGAATTTCTCTGTCCTTTTCTCTCTGCTTTTGAAAAGGGTGTGTGGTCGAAGTTGGGAAGCGGAAAGGGGAGGCTCCACACCTGCGTTTCTTTGCCACAGAATTAGCACTGGCAGCACTGACATGTTGGAGGGTGTGTTTTGTCTTAAGGTTCACAGGCCTGTTGCTCGTTCAAGCAAGTGTTGAAGTTTCTGTTTGGAATAGTTCTGGCCTGAAATTTCTGAAATTTGGATGATTTTCTTCTCTTAGTGAAGTGTGAAGATGGTACTTAAAGCTGACAGAATAAAGGTCGGCACGGGCAGTGGACTAGTGATGGTCTTGTAGATGAAAACCGCTAGACCTCTGGATGAGCGACACTGCTCTGCTGACATGCTTGTTCCGTTTTTAAATTGCTGGCTAATTATGAAATGTTGTACAGCAAACCAAGGAAGAAAAAATTGTTCTCTGTTTTTTCTCCACAAAGGACACATCTGTTCTTTAATTCAGTCAGTGTGGATCTTTTTGGGAGCGGTACAGTGACCCATTGTTGCAGTGCTGTGCCATTGTCCGGCCCAAGTCAGATGCTATCTTTGTCTCTTGGAGTTTGTGAACGGCACGTGGACCTTTGGGTGTCTTGCGTTGTTTAAATGGTACTTGGAATTTTCATGATAGCAGCTAAGCTAACTTTCTAGCAACTAATGATATACTGTTGTTCTTTTCTAGAAAATGCTGTATTATATCAGAACTATAAAGAAAAAGCTCTGGACATCGATTCTGATGAAGAGTCTGAGCCCCGAGAGCAGAAATCGGATGAAAAGGTTGTTTTTCGCTATAAGCCCCTGAGATCAACGTGGAGTCAGCTGTCCGTTGTGAGTATTTGATTATTGCATAGCCAGACAGAGCATCTAAGAAGTTGTTGAAATGAGTCTTTTTGCTTACTACTGGAGCTCTGGGCTGAAACTTGTCATCTTTTCCCTTCCAAAATACAAGGTGTCTCCAAATACTTTTATATCAACAAGTTTGCAGCTATTCCAATGTTACTAGTCTGAATCTGGCAGTCTCAATTTATCTTCTGTTTAGGTTTTATCCAAGGTAACTCCGACAGCTTGAAGAAAACAAATCACATATTCTCAGTTAGTTTGAGTAAGGATAGACCGATGCTCCTGCCAGAATTGGTTTCCCTGGTTGGCTGACACCTCCCTTTTCTAGTGCAAGTGGATCATGTGGCCACAAAACAGGCTGATTAGAGTGTGGGATTTGAAATTGCCAACAAAAAAAATTCAGTGTAGTTGAAGGTGAAGTTAAATACAACCCTGAAACGTGAAGGAAGTGATATTTCATGACTGCACACTTCAAGATACAGTTCTGTTTCATTTAATATTCTGTTTAAACTATACTGGGCAAAACAAATCAAGCGTGCCTCTTCCGTTTGCACGTGGGATTTACGACCCTGACTGTGGGTTTCCCACAATCACTGCAGGAGGCTCCTTAGGCCTTGCCTGCGCGGGTCCTCGTGGAAAGCCAAACTTGTCACGTCTGTTCCTGCGCCCGGCTGTTCCTGCAGAAAGCTTGGAAGGACAGGTTTAAATCCCAACAGCGTTTTAAACTCCAAGTGAGAGCTGTGCTTTGTAGTTCCTTTTGATAGATTGGAGTGATGTGGACCAGACTCAAATAGGATTTTGTTTTAGGGTCCTGTATTTGGCAGAGACTCAACTTACTGATTTGTGTATTAAAAAAAAAAAGTTTATGTGAGTTTACAAAAAGGGTGAATTACACTAAAGAAAAGCCTCAGTTAGTTACAAGTAAGTTTCTGCTGGATCATTTGAAATTGTTGCAGCTCAGTGCTAAGTTGGCTGCATGTATTTGATGGAAACCATTTAAAAAAAAAGCTGAGTATTCAGATGGTGGTGTTCTCTCCCAAGCCCTGTCTGTGAGGCATCTGCAGTTGCATTTTTCTTAGTGGCTTTGTTAAAACAGAATTCAGCTGTTATAGTCACTAGTGTAGTCTTGCAAGCTTCCCTGCTAGTGATGATACCAGTTGATATTTCTGCGGGTATTCATCATATGCATGATTTTGACACTAAAGAAACGGTGAAAATTCTGTAGTTTTGTGATTAATTTTATCCCTGTTTTTCCAGCTTCTGGAGGGATATCCCTAAAATTATGAGTTTGGGGTTTTTTTGGGTTTTTATGTAACTTGTAGAGTCTCGTAGAACCTCATCTCTGTGTGTGGCATAAGAAAGATTATTACATGACATGATTATTATTATTATGACATGATTATTGCATGATCACCTAGAATATTTGATGACTGGGGTCACTGACTGTGTATATACTATAGAAATTAGTTATTAAGCCTCAGTGAGATCTGCTAAGGCCATTTAAATTGTGCAGAAGAGCTGTCTTACAGATGCTGATGACCTTTTACAGTTTAAGGTCTGGAAATACGGATCACTCTTTGATTCAGTAATTACAAACAAGGCAAGACGATGTGGTTTTGAAGAATTTGCTTCATTTTTTTTTTTTCCCCAAGAAATCAGTACTTTAAATGTAGTTAATTTGCTTAATGTTGCAAGAGAGTTTACTTATAATGAAGTCAAATTGGAGGGGTTTTTTTTCTGCCTTCTAGGCAAACTAGCAGTTAAATGTTCAACAGCTGAGGTGTTTCAGAAGGAGCGCTCTTCAGCAGTAATAATAATTTCAAAACCACTAATTTGCCGTGGCCCCAGAATAGAATCAGGATCATCTCAGTAAGAGAGCCGTTCCTGTGCCATGCTGACAGTTACATAAACCAGTTTGTTCTTCAGGATTCCCAGCACAGCAGACTTGTTCAGTGTCTTTACTTGAGTGACAAGGCTGGGAGTGGGGAGGACAGGGGAGAAGTGGGCGCGCTGGGAGAATAAAGCAGTGGGGTCACAGTCGTTTGTGACTCTGGCAGAGTGACGTGCTGTCCATGTGCGTGGAAAAGCGAGTGGGGCACTGTAAGAGGAAGTCAGCTGGAAAATGTCACAGTCCTGGGTTTCAGCTGGGAGAGAGGAGCAGCACGTTTGCGGTGTGGGTTAGCAGTGACTGTGCGGGTTGCTGGAGGGGAATCGAGAGCAGGGTGAACCTGCTCTTTCTGCAGGGGGTTCCCTTGTCCGGCTGGGCCTGACAGCTGGGGCAGCTCTGACCAGACCCTGCATTTGGGGGTGGTGAAACCTTCACGTATGGAGCTGTCACATCCTTCATGATGATAATAAAAAAGGGTGTTTCTGTCTTCCTGCGTTGTACCACTCGTGTGAAACTAAGATTGGGCATTTAAAGGCTCTGAAATAAGGTGCTGTTTAAATCCAGTTCCTTTCAAATTCCTCTCTTGAAACCTCTTCCTCTGTTACAGGTCAGACACCCAGCAGTAGCTCAGCAGGTGACTAGGGAAAAAGCTGCCTTATCTGCTGTCTCGGTCCCTTCCAACTCTCTCAGTTTCATTTAGGGAGAGCAACCAGTATCTTAGAAATATATTCCCAAAGCATCTTTCGATATTTTTGAAGGCTTTCCAGCAGATCATAGGTAGTGATGCTAACCTGTGCACTGTATCAGATGTATTTGTTTTCCACCGAGTGGAGCGTTGGGTTGCTGTGGGTAGTGATGACGTGTGTTACCGTGCGTGCAAAGAGTCGCGGCACTGCTTAGCTTGGAGGGGACCTCTTCAGATCATCTCCTCCGAGCCCCTGCTCAAGGAGGGTCAGTCAGAGCAACTTGCCCAGGACTGCATCAAGTCAAGTTTTGAAAGTCTCTCTGGGTGGAGACCTCGCCACCCTCCTGGGCATCATCCCGTTGCAGAGTTGGAGCACTGCATCTGACTGTTGGACTTTGAACTTAAATGTCGGTTTTTCCACGCCCTTATCGCCCAGCCTGGCGAGTATGATGCATGTTCACTTTTCATTACTGCTGCCAGTGCTGCTGTGATTCTTACAAATATTCTTGAGATCTTGCGCTGGGAACAGATGCCCCATAGCACAGGTGATGCTCAGAATTAATAGGAGGTGGGTTGTTTAGCATCAACCCCTCCATTTCATGCCCAGTAGGCTCAATGTATTTACGCAGAGCTGCGTCAAGATTTTGTGTGTTCTCTCAACTGCTGCCTCGCTAACCTGAAACTCTTTCCAAGCTTTGGCCATCTTGTGTTTCATTTTTCTGAGCACCTCTCCCTGGTTTGGGACAAGTACGGGTGTCACTTTTCTTGTTCATTTAAAAAAAGCCACAAGTTGCTTTATGGAGCCACTCGGTCCCCTTTCCACGGCTGCCTCTTCTCTGCAGGGTCAGACAAAACCTGCCTGGTTTTACTGTCGAGCATCTTCAGGGCAAATGTCTGCATTCGCTCTTGTTTCTCTTGTGCTACCAAAGGGCTTACCTTCAACGTGGTTCATGGTGGAGCTGCTTACTATATTTCTCAAAAAAATGTTTCTGGTGAGCTCCCTACCCCTGCAGCACTTCCTTATTTTGGAGGAACTTCTTGTGTATAACCGCAGAGGTAACCTGTCATTCCTTTGTCCTTTCCTCCTCATCTCCGTGGCTGAATCACAGCGGAGTTCCTGACAAAAAGCAGTCTGGTGTCCCAGTACAACAGCTTTAGCAGTGGTAGTGCTGGGCTCTTCCATTCTTTCTGATTATGTTCTTAGCAAGGTTTTTGTTTGCACAGTAGCACAAATGGGATTTTTAGGCTGTTTCAGCTAAAACATATTGGACACCTCAAAAATAGAAATTGAATTTTCTTTCACAGAGTGTGTCAAATTAGTCTCCATATTTGGGCCTCCTCCTCTTTGCAAGTGTTGTTGTTAAGAGGTTTAGGGTTGAGCCATTTACTGGCGTGATGTTTTATATGTGCACTTTGTATGTACACACCCATGTGTGACAACGGAATGATTGCAAAACACAGCGGCAGTTCCTGAATGTGAATGTGGCAGTTGCTGCACTGAGCTCGCTGACCCCCTGTGGGTGAAATCAGGGAGGTTGTGCAGGGTGGCCGTGATTCAGCTGTGCATGCTATTGCTGCTGTGTTTGTGTCAGGATAGGTTTTAATGAAATTAATTTAGGTCTTTAGGTAAGTCAAGTGACAGACATCACTGACTTAACTCTTTTATTTCTGCTCTGTCATTGCTGTCTTTCTGCAATGGACAGAGTCTTTAGCTGAATTCTTAGTGCATTGTTTTGATGGCGCTGTATTATTTTTGTTAAACCACGTTTTTCTACAAAAGATTTAAAAATTTCTCATTTATTTTTTAGGTAAAGAAGAATGGATTATCAGATGGAATTAGCCAGGAGGAAAGAAAAAGACAGGAGGTACTCGTTAAAGTAACACATTCTTTTTTGGTGGTGGTTTCGGGATGCCCTGTGTGCCTGATGTAACACTCTGTTTGTTGACAAGGAGACAACGCTTCACTCCTGCCCTGGAGTGAAGTGTCTTCTCTCCCCAGGGAGAGTAAATAAACAAAACCTGGCTGTGGCTGATGTGTAGATGTCGCTGCCACTGCTCTCCTGCCAGAGAGGGCCTTGCCGGAGGAGCGCTGCCCGGTGTGCTCCCGCCCGCAGCTGCAGCCGCCTTGGGGGCTGCTCCGTAGCAGGAGACGCTCATTGCTGCTGCTGAACTGGGGAAGGTGTAAAACTAACCTTGCGCTCACAGAGGGTAGGGGGTGACACAGAATTTTTAAAGGCAATGCGGAACAAAGGACAGCTTTTGACAACGCGCCTGAGTTGTAACTAATCCTGTAAGTACTTGTGACCCCGGGAGCAGTGTGTGTGGTGTAACTAACCTTCTTCCTTTCACGCTGCAGTGGAGAAGGTACATCCATGCTGTCAGCAGTACAGACAACAGCAGCAATTACTGATGCAGTTATCTTGTTTCTCTGTCTCTTTCCCCTTTGCTCCTTTTGTCCTCTTTATCCACTTTCCTCTTCCTCTTTGTCCACTTTATCTGCTTTACCCTCCTTCCTTACTTGCAGGGGCTATATCAAAATGAATGAGAGGTGTTGAAAAGAATAGCCTGACCTAGCCAACTATATACCTGCAGTTCTTGAGGTATGTCCTTCCACAGAAAAGAAAACACAACACTAGAGCATTACCTGCCCTGGTAATTTGTTCAGCATCTCCATTTGGCTTCAGGACATACCTCAGTGAGTGTAGCCGAGTGACACCTGATGGGGCTTTTTGGAGAGGTTCACAGAGTTCTATAGCAAACCTCAAATAGTCATCTCGCTACGTGACCTACAGCTGTCATATTCCTTTGTGAAATACAGCAACATCTTGTACTGCACACGTCAGATGTAGACAGCAGTTTGTTGGGGTTTTCTTCTAATGCTACATTTCTTTGGCTGTCTTCTTTGGGGGGGAAGAGGCTGGGCAGCAGTTCAGGCCACGTGTTCAGCTTTTCTGTCTCCTCCTGCTGGGAAGCTTGGAGACACAAGGCATTTATTTCAGTCATATCCTTTAGGAGCCTTTAGTCTTATGTTTCCTGGACTTGTATTTACATCCCTTCAAAGAGAACAAGTTCTTCAGATGCTTTTTAAATGTAAAGCCTTTAATGTTACCAAAAATGTTTTCAAGCCTGAGGGTTTTCTTGTTTGAATATTAGAAGCCCGTTCTTTCAGAGGGAGCCTAAATAAATATTCATAAGATGCAGTTATACTACCAAGTCATGCTTTTGCTATATTTATTTTAAATTGCCTTTTACCAGTTTTTCTTTATCTATTCTTAAAATTGCTTTTTAGAACTTATTATTTTTGCCATCATAATATATTGTCGCTGCAGAGAAATGATTTGTTTGCTTTCTGCCTTGATTAAATAGAATGTCACACATTCATTCCCATCCCAGCTTTCAGAACACATTACTGAGATGGATCTCTGTGCATCTTCTGTGTAAAGAAAATGTGGCATGGAGACTGATTTGAACTATAGACATTTTCATTAGATCTTCTTTTCTTGCAAGCTGGAAATTAGCTCTGTGTGTGTGTACAAACTGTATTTCCTGGCCATCAGGATTCCAACATCTGCTTACCCTGATATCACGGACCCCAGCAGGGTTCCAGGTGTCAGCAGGAACAGTGTTAGCAAGCACCTGGGAACTGCCAGCCCGGCCCCTGAGTGTGGGGTAGTTACTGTATGTCAGTCCAGATTGTTCCTTAATCCTTTCTTATTTTGTATTCTCCAAAATGGCAAGACGATACACTCTCCTTTCTTACGCATTAGAAGCAAGGTATCTCTCTTTGTCCCATTTAGTTAGGAGTGTACTAAGGACCTTCTGGTACCAGACTGGAAGAAGTCCATGAGGGTCCTCAGACAAAGCAGAAACAAACCCCCTCCAAAAAAGTAGTAATAAAAGAGCTTGAATGTTTTCCTGTGTTGAAAAATGTCTGGGTAGAAGCCCATTAGCCATGGAGCTCCACGGCAGGTAAATCCTTTCTGTGTGAGCACGGCTGGGAGAGGTGCAGTGAGGCCGAAGGCTGGAGCTGGAGCTGCTGGTGGTACCTCTGCGCGGGTTAGCCAAGGGATTTGCCACCAGAGTTCGGCTGGCCCGTGGGTCTGTTCTAGGCTCTGGCGGTTGGCAGGCAGGGAGTTTAGCAGCATTTTAAGCATCACCTTTACGTCTCTTCTCACAGAGCAGTAACCTGCAGCTTGTTGTAGCTGCTGCTGTTTCTCTCACCAAATGCCCTCAGATTTCTAGGTGGTAAGGAAGCAGAGAGCCCACTGATGTACGCGTTACGCTGCCTTTCCTCATGTGTATTTAAAGTACGTGTTCCCCCTCGGCTTTGAGAAGGCTGAGAGAAGTTAGCTGCAAACAACTGATGAAATTATACGGGCAAGTATTACCATCAGTTATATTACATCTGCTGATGGATTATTCTGTGTTGGCAATGCCTGGAGTACAGCGCTGATGACAAATGTGATTTAGTGGAGCTTATGACAAAAGAGTTTGTGAAAGTTAGGTCTATTCCATGTACATGTGAGAAATCTATTAGAATAACAGCAAATGAAGCCTAGCGAGGTAAACGATCTCTACAGGCTGCCCAGGTATCTACCTGAGAGATGAAAGTTTCCAAGGGAACAAGTATGTGGATTTTGAAGTCCAAGAGTCCACTGGGAGTTTGCTTTGTGTGCCAGCCGGCTGCTGGAAGTCACGGTGGCCGCTCGGAGCGCGGAGTGCTAAGGTGGAGAGCTCGGCTGTGGGAGCTGCGGAAGGTTGGGGAGGTCACCCAGCACAGGCCCTCACTGCTCACAGGCAGCGGCTCCGTGTCCCCTCCTGCTCTGCTGCTCCCATGCCTGCTCCTTGCCTGGGCCTTTACAAGTAACCGAGGGATCACCGAAACACAAATTTTGCAAAAGGTTTTGCTCTCCTGCAGAGTTCTGTTACCCAAGAACACTTTCCAGCAAAGAAGTTTGCAGCTTCTGTTTAAAAAGAGCAGAAAGAAATGCTGGCTGATCAACACTGCTATGGCTGATAGGAAGCTTCCAGCCCACCCACAGAAACAGACGAGGTGCCTTTGCTGGTTTTGAAAAAATTATTTATTTATTTTAAAAACCTGCCAAGCCCCACCTCTCAGGAGTATGAATGGAGAGTGATCACAGTTGGTGGGTTTTGTCTTCAAACTCTGCAGCTGCATTGAAAACTCTGAATACAGACTGTTAAAACAAGTCTTTCTCTAGTATTAAATCACTTAGTTCAAAGTAAATGATGCAACTGTCGTGGAAATCATTAATTATGTTAGAATCTTTTGTTACATTCAGTAACTTTTCTCTGCACCCATCCTCCACGTGTTCTTCTTTTTTTTTAATTTTAAAAAGAACACAGTCAATAGTAAGTTTTCTGTTTCCCCCTCCGCTTTGCAGGCAATATTTGAAGTGATATCTTCTGAGCATTCTTATTTGCTGAGCTTGGAGATTCTGATCCGGATGTTTAAAAATTCCAGGGAACTGAGTCTCACGATGACCAAAACGGAGAGCCATCACCTCTTCTCCAATATCACGGATGTTTACGAAGCAAGCAAAAAGTAAGTATAGCAGTGCACTTCTACGTTTTCAAATTATGCAGTTTTTAAATTACAAGGCTTAAGTTTAACATTTAGTAGTTACAAATTTAAATTATTTACAATGTGCTTTTTTTTTTTTTAATTCTACCTGAGGGGTGATTCCTGGTAGTCAAAATATCTCTCAAGCAAGGAATGAAACATACCAAATAGTTTCTTTAGTGTTACCACAAAATGAAGGAACAGGTGCAAGGTAGCAAGTTCAGCAAAAAATTATGCCTGGCAATTAAAGAATGAGAATTCAAATGTTGCAGGTGTTAATACGCAGAGTCTTAGTTGTTTATAAGCTGTAAATAAATTAGAATGGAATTTGATTCTTTGTTCTTTGAGAGCATCAAAATACCTAAACAGCTAAGGTTTTATTTTGCTAACTGTAGGCGCTGGGTTTGTAATGACTAAGCCCCTGTTTATTTGGATTATATTTTCCTTGTATCCCTCACAGGTAGTGCCTCGAATAATAGAGCTCTGGTTACTACTCTCTGTGATACTGGAGGCATTTGCAGACTCAGGCTCTGCCTTGCCTACGCTCTTTTTCTCCAGGGTATCTTGCTCTTATTTGCAAAGAGCTTTTCTTGCCAGAATACTCTTGATTTTTAAAACTGAACAGCTGTTTACTTTTCTGGCTTCACTGGTTTAGGAAGGAGAGCTTACGGGTAGACTGAACTGGAGGTAGGTGGCTGGTTATTATTTTAATACCAGTTTCAACATAAAAGCAAGTTTCTCGCTGGAATCTCAGGTGACCATTTCAGAGCAGTAACCATTTCCTCCAAAGCTGTCGGGGTAGTTTGAAGATGGAAAATACAAATAGCGGTGAAACATGCGCATGAGTTTGCCAGACTCGCCTTGCCACTGGTTTTGAGCTGCTGTTCAATGGGAGAGGCAGCCTTGTCCTCCTGGGAACAAGCAGCTCTGCTGTGCTTTTAGTATTTTTTTTAAAGTGCAAAGTTAGGAGCGAGAAAACCGGACACCCTTAGAACCAGAGCCTGATGAGAAGGAGATGTTGGCAGATCTTACGCGATACAAACGCTGCGAGGTCTGGTTCGTGACTGCTGGTGGTTACTGCCAGCGTTAACACCAGACCTGTGTGTGCTCACAGGGGGGGTGCTGCGGGGCCACCAGTGCTTCAAACCCCGTTTCAAAAAGTCGTTTCATGAGGCTTTGCTTTGTTACAGCCTGTTTGTTATCCCAGCCTGGTGAGTAGCAGCATCAGCGGGTGAATTGCTGTGGCCGCACAGCCAACAAAATAAAAATGTCTGTGCTTTGCTTCTTAACACCTGTGTCCAGTGGCGGCTGAGGCACCAGGGCTCGAGGATGCCTGTGGCCTTGTTAGCTACTGGCTGGCCGTGGCACCGTGCCCCTTTGGATGTGTCTCTGCCTGCGGAACAGCAAAATAAAATGGGGCTAAGGGTTGGGTGAGGAGTCTGGCAGGCTCTGGAGTCAGTCCTTTCCACCTTTCCAGCTTTTTGTATTCTTGTTCCCTCTTCTTCTGTCACCTTTGTTTCCTCCTTGTACAAGTTGTGAGCTGAATTCGTTAGCATTAAGCTTGCGCTCACCTTTGTGGAACTAATCAAGTTTCATGTTTCCAGTCACAGCAATGCCCTTTCTTGGCTTTTGTGTCTCTGAAGGCCCGCAAATTCTGTGGAATTCTGCATCTGTTGTGCAGCAGTTTGGTTTCTGAGGTTTGTGCAGTAATAACATTTTGTTTCATGGAGCAAATGTGAGAGTCTAATGGATTGTGTCAAGCACAAACCTAATTTAGCAGCTATATAATTCGGACTTATTTGGCACTCTTTCATTTCTCCGCCCGCCCCATTCCCTTGTGTTTCTCCCTTATAATTGCTAACTGCTTTTGCCAGCAGTTGGATGTCGTCTGAATGCACAGCTGCCGCAGGACGAGAGCCGCAGGGCAGCAGCGTGGTCAGGGCGTGCAGGGTGTCCAAGTGCTGATTTGAAGGTTTAGTACTTCCTGAAGGCTTCTCCTCACTCGAAATGGGAATTGTAGAAGTAGAGTATCACGAGCTCGTTTCCTGCCCGGCAAATACTGCCTCACAGAGCCGTCACGTTACCAGGCAGGAGTTGCCATCTCCCTCAGAGGGTTTAAAAGCCGGCAGAGGCTCCGTGAGCCGGCCGGGCAGCACGGCCGCGGCACTCGGGTGTGTTTGGGATTTCCTTCCGGATTGAATAAGCCTCCCAAATCATCAAACCCACTTTAAAGTTTCTCACTTGAAATATCTGGAGCGGAGACGGGGGTGGGGAGAGCAATATTTTCAGGGGAATTCTTAAAACCCTTTTGATTAATGGTCTTCAAAGGAAGTGGAGGGGGAGATGGGGAAAAGAAATAATGGAAAAATACCAGACTAGCCCAAAATTACAATCTTACTCTTTCTTGTCTGAGAAGTCTAATGGATTGAGAACTTGGGTTTGTTTTTTGTTTGGTTTTTTTTTTAATAACTTGGAGTAAAAACAGAATTCATAACTCATTTTTAAACTTAAATGAAAACATATTTTGTTTCCTGAGTTATGCAATACTGTTAAACTATAACAAAACTTTGTGCTGGCTTTCTACAACTTCGTGTAAATAATAAAAGTGATTTTAAAACAGAAACCTTTTAGTAGTATCTCGAAACTATCGCTTCCCGTTCTCAAGGTCTTTTGTGGTAGCAGAATCCATCTTTTTGTTATAAAATTAGCATCTACTCCATTCTGCTGTATTTTAAGTAGCCTTTCCTTTACTTAAAAATACAAAATCTGAGTATGAGTGTAGTTACCAGTGGGTTTGGTGGCTCAGACAAAAGTTTGGTGAGCTGAAGAGCTTGAACTGATAACAGTACTGTCTGTGGTCAAAATTGCTTGGGGCTGGTATCTCAGAACTTTGACTTAGAGCGTGTTTAATGGAAACTCTCCAGAAACACCACGATAGGCTCCTAATGCGCGACCAGGCCATTTCTGCCGGAACAAAGCTGCCTTTGTTGGAGGCAGAACACAGCCAGCAAAGGCTGTCTCTGCTCTGGGGAGCTCATTGGAACGTCTCTGACAAAGAAGAGCTGATCTGAATAATTTGTGCAGCGTGCAGTGTGGTGGTTTATGAAAACATCTTGCAAGGTGGCTCCGGAAAGTTTAAGTCTTTTATTGTGGGTTTGCGCACGTGCCTGTGTGTGAGACAGGAGTGCTGAACGGGGAGAACACAAAATCGCACCAACTGCAGCCCGGGTCAGCGCGAGCTGTCACAGGGAGAGGTGAGCTGATGGGTCAGGCCAGGGTGCAGGAGAGGTCGGCTTCCCCGGAGCCTGGCTTGGGAACGAGGAGTTACAGGGAATCCCGGGAAATGTCTTGAAGAACAATTGGTCTGACAGGTGAAAATTTATAGGAGGGCTTCAGCACTTTGTTTCTCTCTCTGCCGTTACGCCAGCAAAAAGTAAAGCTCATGGAATACTGGAAGGTTAGCATTAGCGGAAACAGATGTGAACAAAAAATATTTTGACACAGTGTTTTTAAACTCTGTGTCTTGATTTTGGTAGAGAAGCCCATGTGGGTTTATGAGGTAGGTCAACATCTTGTCTGAGTCTCTTAGTTTAATATTATATGTGTGAATATATGTTAGGAACCAGGTAAGCTTCCTTATAGCACTTTTTGTAGATTGGGTTTATGTTTCAGCTCTTTCCCACATAGTTTTAAATGATGCAGCTTTGTCTTTTTCTACAGAAAAACACAGTCCTAGTATTCCTGTAAGAAATGTGCGTATTGAATTAGTTAACTGGGTATTCAAATCCTTACTTGTTGGGAGTGCGGAGTTCTGTTGCTGAGGTTCTTTGGAAGACTGCAAAAAAAGCCCAATCACCACAAAACTCACATATAACAAAAAAAGTAAAAGTAGAAAATTAAATGCTGTGAGTAGACCCTGTGTGATTCAGGTGAACTATAAGGAAAGTGAATTCTTCCTAAGTTCTAGATCACCAGTTTGATTTGCAGGTAGGACAGTGGTGTAAGTCATTAACACCTTTTTTCCTGTCTGGTCTAGACTGATGGTGTCGGTCTGTGCTCTGTGTTTTATCACAGTTCTTGCCCTTAGTGATTTTTGAAGAAAGCCGAGTAGTGTCTTGAGGGCATCCAGTGACACTGAGGTGTGGTCTAGGGGAGAATTTCTGGGCTCTGTTAAAGAAAACTGTTTGTGCCAGATGCTTTGAAGGAGATAAATGGCTTCCTTAAGTAAGATAAGTAAGGCTGAGTGGTTATGTGGGATGTGAGTGACAGAGTAATGGGAAGAAGGGGGAGAAAAACCCTCTTGGGTGACCCAGGAGCAGGATGGGAGGGAGAGAGCAGGGAGTCTACAATACCCTATTTTTCTTACCAGTTTAGGTGTCCAGAGAAGGTGTTTCTGGCTTCACACATACCGATGACTTGGGACAGTGCGTTTATCCTTGTGTTTCCTCGGCTTGCTTCCTTGGGGGTTTGTTCTATCAGCCCCCAGTGCTGAGCTCTCTGGTGTCAGTGTGTAGGGATGGTGGGTCAGAGGGCTCTTCTGGCAGCTGAAACTCTCTGGGTTGACCCACGCTGTTCCTGTGCAAAGGACTGGCGGCGTCGGCAAACAGTAACTTTAAAATAACTGCAGTTGGTACTTGCATTCCTGACCCAGTGAGTGTTCTTTTATGATTTAGCTTCCTTATTGGAGCCAAGATTAGATATGTGACTGCAGGGCTCGGGAACAACAAATCTAAACAGAATCGTACTTCCCTCAGCTCATTTTCTTGGGCAAACAGAACTGAAATAATGCCTTTTTGAACACGTTTGGAAATCTTTATACATCTATGTGCATTGTATAATAACTTGGTTTAATAAATACCTTGCAATTACTTATACAAAAAGTGCCCTTGAAGAAGATGCCTAGTTTTCCAGAAAATACAGTATGCTTCTAGCTTCAAATCACTTAAACATACTGAAAAGAATACCCTGAGCTCACAGATTTGCATCCTTCACTTTCACAGTGTAGCTCCACGCTGTATAAATAGACTGAACTGTTGCTGGCTGTTGCTAAGAGTGGGAGAGGGACCCAGTGGGAAAATATTTGGGCAGCGGCTCTGCTGCAACTTTAAAGTCCATTTAACAGAACACTGATTTAGAGAGGTGGAGAGAAGTGAAGTGTGTGTCGGGTCGTTCCCTTCTGTCCTGTGTGAAGTCCTGCTCAAGCTGTCCCTGGTCGTTCAGCTGCCCCTCTGTGGGAAGGACAGTAAATCGTAAAGAAAAGCGAATCTATTGGCAATTTGCTGGTCTCTGACGTGTGTGATCCTCAGCAATTAAATCCAGCTCATATTAGGTTTCACAGATTTCTCTGCTTGGGCGCCCTTCTCTCGGCCTTCCTGGCTGCCCAGTGGTGCCTGGATGGGTGTGGAGAGGCTGCGCGGGTGCCCACGGGTGCTGCCTGTGGCAGGGCTGTATGCAGATTTCACAGGAACAAACATCTCTTCCCAAACACTGAGACTGGTCATTTCTCTTGTATGTGATGTTGGCCAGCACTGTCACCTGGTTGTGGTGCAGCCAGGTGCTGCAGGTGACAGCACAGGGTCGGAGGGCTTGGCACCAGAGGTGCCTGGTTGGTCTTCATTTCTTAGCTTGGCTGTTTCTAGCGAGCGTGTCCTGTGGGAGCAGCCTCACCATGTTGTCAGGGAGCTCCACAAAACCATCTCCGAGTTCAGTGCCTGTGACAGGCGAGAGATCGTTTCGTTCTGTGGCAGATGGGTGCTCAGGGGGACGGGCCGAAGGGCGCTGCTGCTCCTTGGGAGCGCGGAGAGCACGGCTCCCTTCCGCTTGGGAAGGGTTTGTAAAATGAAGACTCCTGTTGTGCTGTCTGCATAATTTATCTAAAAGATTTACATTTCCAGTGCCACAGAGCGTTCTTTGTGGGCTCATTTGCCAGTGGGTATTAATTGCTGAAGCAAGATTTGTGTTTCTGAAGTGCGTGCTGCCGAGCTAGATGCTACGAGCCCTCACCCGCTATCGCAGGCATCTCGCTGTAACAGAATATATTGGTGTGGTTGCCATGGACTCTGTATTGGTCTGGATTTCTGCCAGAAGACTATGAAGAGTTGAAAAGGCAAGTGCCTTCCCATTAGGACAGTTACTTGTGGGTGCCAGTTTGTTGCGGTATGAACAAATAGGTTGTCAAGGTATTTTTTTTTTCGTTTGTTTGACTTTTAGGTGCTCAGTGGATATTGCTTAAGAAAAGGTATTTTTATGGGCTGTTAGCTTTGCAGTGCATGCTGTTATAAATGTGTGTGTGTATTGGTTTTGATTATTTAGATCATGGTAGCTCCTGTCACAGACTGATGAATTTCAGACACTGGATGCAGTCCCCCTTTCTAGCCATGCTTTTGCTAAAAGCTCTGATTGTGATTCAGCGTAAAAGTCTGTGGAAATAAAGCTGTAATGTTTCCTGGTTTCACTATTTTAAAGCTCCCGCCCCTCCAAAACAAAAATTTGTGATGCGTTCATTGAGCTTCTCTTCCTGACGAGCAGATTCGGGATTGAAGAGGCGAATCAGAAACCTTTATTCCTGTTCTCTGAAATGGGGAATGGTTGTTCCAGTTCCCTTTGCTCCAAGAGGAAGAAGTCGGAAGAAGTTCCCACTCCCGTGGCTTTTGTCTGTTGCTGGATGGTAACGTGTCAGCAGCAACGTTGCTCTAAAGCTAAAGCTGCGTCACAGTGATCCTCTCTATGTCATTATAACTTTGAAAATATTAAGGAAGAGTAATAATGATGACGATGGTGATCTCACAACTCCATCAGAAGTTTTTTGGGTTTTCCTCTTAGCTCCTTCGGGTGCTGTTCCGATCTGGTGACCTCCGGTATTGCACTTGTGCCCAGGTTTCAGGCGGATATTCCAAGTCTGCTCTTTCCCAGTCTTACGCGCCAGCAAGGCTTTGCTGTCCCTTGATTTCTATAGGGACCCTGGATTTAAATAACGTTTACTTTTTCTGCAGTTCCTCCAGCCTTATGTGCTCTTGTTAGATTCTCTGTGCTTTTTGCTCCTGGAAAATAACAGATTCTGTAAGATAACTGTTTAACTCTCATTTGGCCTGCCTACTTAAAATTCCTTTTACCTGCCTGATGAGTTGCAATCTAATTTGGGAATATCCAGAGAGCAAGGTGTGGTATTCATAAGAACGTGAGTCCTGCTCAGTTAATATCTTTATCCAAGGGTGAAGGGAGAGTAGATGCTGAGAAGAAATGTCGACCAAAATGATTCACGACACCTGTTTGAGCAAGGCTCTCTTGATGGGAGTTTTGCAGTTGTGAGACATTGTTTAGGCCTTGTAAAAGGGAATTATGTGGAACCATTTGTAGTGTTGTGCGTGTACTGCTGCACATTTGTGTCTGCAGAGCTGAGTAACTGGAGTTTTTGAGAAAACTGTGGATTTAAAGCAGTGCCAATGAGCAGGGGAAAATGGTTTACAAGAATTGCCTCAGCGGGTGTTTGGATGTTGTTCCTGCTGGTGCTAAGGAGCTTGTTACGGAGCTGCCTCAAGGTGTGGGAAGACCCGTCACAGGAGCCACGGACGCTCCAGGAGGAAACTCTTGCCCTGGTATTGGTGAGGTCTCTGGTGGTTCCAGATTTTGTGCTATAAAAAGAAACGAACAGGAAATGAATTCAACCTGCATCTCTGAATTCTGGCACGCAGCCTTTAGGAGAGGGGGAGTTTGAGTATTACAAATTGGACATTTCTTTTAAACGACCCAAGGGCAAGATGAGGGAAATCAGATGCTGTCTTGTGATGCTGTTTAACTCTCACTTAATTGGATCTAACTTGAACCAGACAAATTCTGGATTTAACAGAAACAGATCCTTCTGGTGTTCAGTAAATAAAGCCAGTCAGACAGCCCAGCTCCTTTGTGGTTGGTTAAACGGAACGTAATCACTCAGATTCTGTCCTAACGATCAGTACTGTCCTAAAATTTTAAGGTTTTTTAGGATGTGTCTGGTTGCATGATTGTCTATAAGTAATAAGCAAATTGGATGGAAAAAAAAAAAGACAGCCTTTGATTCAAACTTTGATGTGTGATTTTTCAGAGGTAGTATTTCTAATAGTACGTGTTGTGGGCGATGGGACTTGGGTATGCTGCTTCTCTCTGCCCTCTCGGTTTTTTTTCTTCTGCTATCCAAGATTTTTACTGTTCCTTACAATGATTGTGACTGATGATGTCATTGATGAAGCAGCAAATAAATTCTGAAAGTGGAAGTTCTAGCCTAGCACGGTCAAACACCTTGTCAGTGTGCCAGAACATACAGCAGGAAGAAATGCTGAATTTCCTGAGCAGAGTAAGTTGGCAGTGGGCTGAGTTCTCCCAGCTATAAACATGTCTGAGTAGAGCAGAAACACATCCCGGTGTCTGGGGTTCATGGTGGTCAGCGGGTGAGGTCTGGCTGTTGCAGTTCATGAGAAATTGTACACGCTGTGACACAGTGATCTTGTTTTTATCTTTTCTCTCTCTTCCCCCCCCACCTCCTGCTCCCCTCCTCCATGGGCCCCAGTGAATTTTCAGGCAACTGTTAACTTTGTGCTGCTTCTAAGCACACCTGAAAAAACGTGAGCAAACCCATGTTGTTACACACGTGTGATGAGCTTCTGGCCATCCCGATCTCTTCTTCTGCACGTTTGAGGTTGGTTTGTAAAAGGAGCTCTGGAGAGCCCTGGAACCAGCTTAGGATTTTGGTTTCTATTTTCACTGTTGCCCCTCTGTGTTTGGTTTCAGCGACAGACTGAAGTACACGACTACGCGAGCACTTTGTCCAGCTCAGCCTGCCGTGCAGCGTTTGTCCCTAGGTCAGCAGTTCACACACAGCTTTACTTCACTGAACACCTGTGGTGTTGTACTTCCTTCGTTACAGGAGGAAATGTGTCAATGTGTGCCTGAGATGGTTCTGTTTCTCTTCTAACCCTGTTTCTGGAAATTCTAGTCTAACCAGGTCAGTAATGTTGTTTCAGTTTTGGCAACTGGAGAATGGGAAGTACCTCTGCCAGTGACACCGCTGCTCCTGCCTCCTGTCCTCTAGAGATTTTCCTTACTGTTCTGCCAAGGGAGAGATGATCTCACCCTGCCACTCAAGTGGTTGCCTCAGGCGAAGTGTAAAACACTGCGAGAGAAGTCTGCGTTTTTTTGGTAAAGTAATTTATTGTAATTTTTTCACAGGTTCTTTAAAGAACTTGAAGCACGACATCAGAACAACATCTTCATTGATGACATTAGTGATATAGTTGAAAAGCACGCTTCGTCAACGTTTGACCCCTATGTCAAATACTGCACCAATGAAGTCTACCAGCAGCGAACACTGCAGAAATTACTGTAAGAACAAATGCAAAAATCCCATTGCAAAACCATCCCCTTTGCAGAAGCAGGCTGTGGCATTTGGTGCAAAACCTGTGGCTTCCAACTAAGCATGTGCCGACACGCTTCGCTTTACGTTAAGTACAAGTTCCTTTGAAGTAATTAAGAGTGAAGTTACGCCTGGCTGCACCGTCCGGCCTGTTTGTGGTCGTGTGCTGCATTCCCTTTGCAGGGGCAGGTGCAGGGTAATGGGGGTCACAGAGGCGCTGCCCGGGCGCAGGGCCCGCGCTCGCCTTCGCCTGTGGGGCAGCCTGAGGCTTCTAAGTGCCAGTGCTGGTCTTGCGTACCTAAGCAAACAAAACTGAAGGCTTAGC